TTACTATGTACAGTAATGTTCAAAGTTTGGGGACAGTAAGATTTTTTTTTTTTTTTAACTTAATGCTTTTATTCAGCAAGAATGCATTAAATTGATTGTAAGTGACAGTAAAGACGTTTATAATATTACAAAAGTTTTTTTTATTTTTTATAAAATAATTTCTGTTCTTTTGAACTTTCTAATAATCAACAAATCCTGAAAAAAAAAATCACGTGTTGCACAAAAAATATTAAGCTGCACAACTGTTTTTAACATTGATAATAATATGAAATGTTTCTTGAGCAGCAAATCAGCATATTAGAATGATTTATTTATTTAAGGAATTAATTACATTTTCAAATATATTCAAATAGAAAAAACTTATTTTAAAATGTAATATTTCACAATAACATAGTTTTTACTTTATTTTTTTTAATCAAATAAATGCAGCCTTTTTGAGGAAAAACAATTCACAGCCCCCAAACTTTTGAATGCTAGTGTAGATTTTGTGTAATTTTTCTATGACAGTATATGATATAAAAATATAAAATTATCTTCACAGGAAGCACAGTTGGCAGATGCTGTGTCAGCCGCAGAGAACTGGAGCAGTCGCCACACAAAAGAGATGAAGGAAAAAGGACAGCTAGAGATGGAGATCACATTGTTGAACAGGTCAGCAGTGATTTGTGTCCTTTGTATGATAATGCAAATCATAATTCTGAAAAAATTTAAACCTAGAGAGCCTCCCAGAAAGCCATGCAAACCATTTGTGTTTGTTCCTTTAGCCGTATTACAGACCTTACGGAACAGTTGCATGGGCAGGAAGAGAAAGCCCGAACAGATAGAGACGGCCTTTTAGATCGCCTTCATGAGCTCAATACAGAGAGCACTACTATACGCCTGGAGAACCAGAGCCTTAAGGTTTGTCTGTTTGCATCTGTACTGTCCAAATCTCCAATTTGTGCTTTTTTTTTTTTTTTTTTTTACAATTGAGCCATGCAAACCATTTGTGTTTGTTCCTTTAGCCGTATTACAGACCTTACGGAACAGTTGCATGGGCAGGAAGAGAAAGCCCGAACAGATAGAGACGGCCTTTTAGATCGCCTTCATGAGCTCAATACAGAGAGCACTACTATACGCCTGGAGAACCAGAGCCTTAAGGTTTGTCTGTTTGCATCTGTACTGTCCAAATCTCCAATTTGTGCTTTTTTTTTTTTTTTTACAATTGATAACCAATCTCATTTTATCCATAATCCCTCAGTGGTCCTTATGCCTATATATTAAAATATGGTAAATGAATACAAATGAAAGCTGATTTGTTGTGATTGTACAGGCCACTTTGCCTGCCTTGGAAGAGAAGTTGACGTTGTCCCAGTCTGAGGTCCAGCAGGTCAAAGTTTCAGTGAAACAGTATGAGAGCTTGGTGGACAGCTATAAAGCCCAGGTGTGATCATCATTCTCTAACTTACTCATTGATTAAGATTATGAATTCCAGATAGTACTCTTTGCTCAAAAGTTGGGATTTATTAAGATTTTTAAATGTTTTTGAAAGAAGTCTCTTATGCTCACCAAGTGTATTTATTTGATTAAAAATACAGTAATATTGTGAAATATTATTGAACTGTTTTCTATTTTAATATATTTTAAAATGTAATATATTCAGCATTAATAATAAGAAAAAAGTTGAACATTTTGAATGCCAAATCAGCAGCATAGAATGATTTCTGAGGGATCGTGTGACACTGAAGACTGGAGAAATGGCTGCTGAAATTCCGCTTTGCATCACAGGAATAAACTATATTAAAATGGAAAACAGTTATTTAAATTTCAATAAGGTCTGAAATTTACACAATTTTTCACAATAGTATTATTTTTACTGGGCAAGAGTTTTGATCAATTGTGTATATCCAAATTTTGGCATAAAATAGTTTCTCATCACATGTACGTTTTGGGAATGTGTGTGTGTATATTTATTTATTTTGTCCATCTTTAAACTCTGCTCTGTTTCTTTGAATTCATAGGTTCGGAAGACCCGTGCTGAAGCAGATGAGTACTCTGCACGTCTGCAGGTGGCTGAAAGTGAAGCTCAGGCTGTAAGATATGAGCTAGACCAGGAGATCCAGAAGGTCAGGAAGCAGCTTCAAGGCCGTTTGACGGAGCTGGAGCCACTTCCTGAAGCTCTGAGACATGCCGAACTCCAGTTGCAGGAAGCTCATGAGAAAGAGCGCTTACAAGAGAGAAGAAACACAGAGCTCGGCACCTCCCTCGCAGAGCTACGCATCAAGGTGTGTTTGTTAACTGAAGTATAACGCCCTTGAAAACAGTGTGCATTTAATATTAAAACACAGCCAATTTTTTCATGAAGAAAAACTGGAAGAACATTACTGGTGGTGCAACAAAAATGGCTTAACAGAAAAGATACAAAAGCTCTTCATAGTGTTAACGACATTACTATGAGCATGTGACTGCCTTCATTTACCATATCAATGGCTATTCAGTATTCAGCAACTTGGCAGGGCCGTTGTTTCTTATTTCATACGCAAATAGGTTAGCCATTCCTAACAGAGACTGTAAAATTTACATTATTAAAGGTACATTAGCAAGAGGAGCCTGTTTGATTCTAAGGGTCAGTGTTAAAGCAGATGGTGGAAAATAATTGTGTAAATCTAAATGATGAAGTTTCTGTTGCAAGAAACCTTGGCTAATATAAGTGGGGTAAAATGGCCAAATTGGAGATTTTTATTGTATTTTCTAATTAAAGGGGTGGTTGATTGCGATTTCACTTTTTTAATGTTAGTTAGTGTGTAATATTGCTGTTTGATCGTAACAAACACAAACAGTAAAAGGCCATTTATTTTTACTGATCTCCATTAGTACATAAGTTATGTTTTTATTGATAGAATTTTATTTGTTCTGGTGCATTGTGTTTAGGCGGAGCAACAGGGAAGTCTTGCGGAAATGTTGAGACACAAGAACATGTTGCTGCAGGAAGAAAACAAGCAGCTTCAGCACAAAGTAGAGGGCCTTGAACGGTCTGTCACTTTGTCCTTTAATCCCTCATGAATTTTCTTGAATTCATTTTAATGAATTTAATTTCTTAAAGGGATAGTTCACCCCAAAAAAAGAACATTTTCAAAATGTTCTCATGTCGTTCCAAAACTATATGAATTTCTTTCTTCCGTGGAACATAAAAAGTTTAAATTAATAAAAAGAAATAAATTTTTTTGTTCATGTTGTTTGGTTCCTAACATTCTTTTAAACAGGGTTTGTGCATAGAAGCATCTTAAATCAGAGCAGAATTCATAAAGTCATGGCATTAAATATTGCATTGCTTAAAATAATCATACATGTTTGGAATGACATGAGGGTGAGTAAATGATAGTGTTTTTATTTTTGGGTTTCAGTTTAACATGCTCTATCCTCTGTTGTCAACAGGAAGCTAGAGGAGGCTAGCTCCCAAAATCGAGAACTAATCCAGGTAATTTCGAAACGTGAAGAAACAATTCATAGCAACCAGGTGCGTCTGGAAGAAAAGTCCCGGGAGTGCAGTATTCTGACTCGACAGCTGGAGGAGGCCCTGGACGATGCACGTCGGCAGGTCTGTCCCACTACATCCTAATAAACTCAAGGATTCAATAATCTACATTTTCATCTTGCAAAACTATTGCTCGTTTTCATTGAAGATTCCCTGTTGATAGGTTACACAGACCAGGGAGCGAGCAGCCTCTAAAGAGCGTGTTGCACAGTCCAAAATTGTCGACCTAGAGACTCAACTGAGCAGAACAACAACTGAACTGAACCAGTTACGACGAGCCAAAGAGGAGGTCAGTGAAATTTCTCCATATGGGAATTTCTGTCAGATATTTTTGTCAAAAATTCATCCATAAACGTTCTTACAGGCTGATCGGAGGTACCAGAGCCGTTTACAAGATGTCAAGGACAGACTGGAGCAGTCCGACAACACAAACCGAAGCCTCCAGAACTATGTCCAGTTCCTAAAATCTTCTTACGTCAATGTGTTTGGAGATCCTGCTCTCACTGGGTCCTCGTTCCGCACGCCTTCACCAATCTGAAAACTCTTTCAGATGTCTTTTAAGACTTCCTTTACATGGACTAACATGTATTAATCTAATTGTCACTACTGATGACCTCTTGAGTTTGCTGTGCTTTGTATTTTACTCTTGAAGGATTATTTATTTGACATGGTCATTGTACGTGTTACTGGTAAGTACCAAGAAAAGTCTCTTTTTAGTATTAGATAACCATCCTAGAATGAGAATTGTGGTCTTCTAGACAAATTCTTGTCTCATTTTGCCCTCTCTCAAGGTGGCCGTTATGCAATAAAGAGAATTAGATATGATCTTCTTGCAAACCTTTTTTTCTTTAATTTACATAGCAAAAATGAAGGTATTACAATAATTTGGATATTATGTATTTTTTAAGCTTTTGCTTGTTTATGGTTTTAAAACATACCGTTTACTTTTTAGTTACAGTATATGATTTGACCCACTGTGCTATCTAAATGTTGTCGGTTTAAATAATGTCAGTATATACAGTATGATGATGGTTGTATGAAGCACAGTAAGAGTGTGAAAAATCCCATTTAAAATATCACAATCACCTGCTTAAATTTGGATTAGCTTAGTATTTGAGTTGGTTTAAGTGACAAAATGACGACAAACTCAGGATTTATCATTTTCTTTTTCAGCCAAAGTTGTTTTTAATTATAGCAGGGCCATTATGTGAATATTTCTACATTATAACAATGCAGAAAGCATATTTTTAGTCATGATTGATGTTATGTTGTTGTCGTCAGTAGGCTGAGAGCACAGATTCCAATAATAAAATGTCTATTGGTGCTATACATGTACATTACTGTAATCATTCATCTTTTTTGTTTAAAGTTATACTTGCACTTTTTGTCTTTTATTTATCTCATGTGAAATATCCAAATAGTAGTATTCACAGTTGCTTATATGAAATGCAATAGTACATGTATTTTTTAATTGGTAAGAATATTTTGTATACATATCAAGTGTATAATATGTACTTAAGTGTATTAAAGTATTTTGAAAACTGCTGTGTGCTTCAGTGTGCAAAGAAAAGCCATTTCTCCATTTAATCCTCAATATCAAAATGTGTTTCAGTCCAAATGATTAGAAGGTGTAGAAGTTCTTCTTGATGCAGGTATTGATCCCCTTTGTTTCATTGTTCTGATTGCACTCTGCAAAATTATTGCTCGCTTCTGCCATTGCGTTGCTTTCTGTGACTCCTCCGCTAGATTCTTTTTATACTATTTTTATCTGAAGCTGAGCAGCAGCTAATTTCAGCTGGTAATTTCTTTCTGTGGCCTGCATACGTTTGTAACAGTCACAGCAGGATGATCTGGAGGAGTTGGTGGATTCAGTAGGTGCTCCTTGGTGTGGAGGGAGATTTTCAGTGTCCTTTAGAATCTGATTCTGAAACACAATCAGTTTTATCATTTTAAAATATAATACAATTTACTTGATTGTTTAACCCTTCTGTAGAAAGTTCTGTATGGATATATGTATGGAAGGCTCTAATCATTTTTGTTAAGTCTGTCCACGATAGATAGATGATAGATAGAGACTTACCTTAGATTGTGTGAAATTAAATACAGTTGGAATCGCGTCTGGGTGTAAACGCGCTGATTCAGATTCAAAGCAATCCGGTGTGAAATGAGCGGAGCACAGGGAGGAAAATTCAGATGGAATCCATTCCGCGTCCTTCCCCATATTCTTTATCCATTGGCGATGATGCTTGTCTGCTAATGGAAATCTGAGAAGAACAGGATAATCTGTAACAAAACGGTTTTGTAGCATTTTCCTTTATATGTTAATTAGATCTGCTGACCCCGCCCCTCTCTTCCAATCTGCTCTCAGAGAGACTTTACTTTAGCCACATTCATTGAGAGAGACTGCTTACTTTAGCCACATTCATTGTGAAACTGGCTAATTAGCACATTATTAGGAAAGGCGATTTGCAAAGATTCATTACAAAACATTATACTCGCTTCTTCTGTAGATGAGGCTGGATCATGAATAATTCGCGCGAACACAGACGCATTTATGTAGATCAGGGGCGCATTCCAGAAACAATGTAATTCACTGCCAGTTCAGCGGCTCAGATGTCGGGAGTAAATGACAACTGCTATGTTCATTATTACATCCAACAACAAAACACCTCAATCGCTTAGAATTAAATTGATCAAACATGCAAAATTTACTTTCAGCAGCAAATTGCAAAATCAAATGAGCCAACATTTATTTATGTTATATACAGAAATATAAATAACTATATTACATATATTTATTTTGTTTTGTGTAGAACACAGAACTTTAAAAACACTCAAAAGCACTATGGGGAGCACTAGACCTCTTCGGCATTTTCCGTCGGCGCTCGGCTAGTTGCTGCAGTGCATGAAGTCACTGCCTCGCGCGGCTCGTTCCATTCGATCGCTCGCGCTACGCTGCTATTTCATTCGTTGAGGTCGCCACCCGTTGCCACCCAGCCCCAGAAAAACAGAGCAAATCCTTCATCAAGGTAGGCTATTATGCAACATTTCAGTTGTACAGTTGTGCACTTTTACTCAGAAAACACGGGCGTTTTAGTGCAAAACTAAAGGAATGCTTGTGTTTAGGTCGCGTTTGCTCTGAGGGCCGTGCTGGGCGTTTCAACGGCCGTTTTCATCTGTTTAATGATATACAGAACAGAACGTTTCTCTCATTGTACTATACATGTCCTGTTATTACATTGTTGTGCCAATATTATGAATTATATACGTTTTTCAGACAAGCTTTTCATTGCCCTGCCCAATGGAGTCGTTAGCTGCGGAGCTAACTTTAACCTATATTCACGGCTAGATTATAAATTAAACATGCGCGGATAGAGGATAGTGTGAAAGATTCATTTAAATCTATGTGACTGCGTAGGGACATTTTAAATGATTAAATACAAACCTAACTTAATGATATTGATAGGTTTATATGGAAGGCATCTGTAACTTACTTGCAGATAAACCAGCAACCTCCTCCAATTCCAAATGTTCTTCCAAACAAATAACGTTACATTCGTTTCAACAATGTACCTTGTTCTGTCGATACACAATACACAATTTGTGTATTTTCATTGGCTTAATGTGAATTTATAGACATATACATTCAGACTGTAGAGGATCCGCCCAGCGCCTGTTTCTCTCTAGGTCTGTCATTGGATTAATGCTCTGAAATGAGCCCTGGGCATTTGCTTGGATTTATTGTTTCATGATGGTCTTTTTAAATGTACAGTGTTCATTATAAACATGCATAACCATAGATTTGAGTTTTGGCTAGATAATGGTTTATTCCTATAAAATGTGTGAATGCTGCAAACCTCTGGTAATAACAGTGTTTAGTTTAGTACTGTTATTAAAATAAAATATGCTGTATAAACTCTTTGAAGGCAGGTCATAATTACTTTATTTAAATTAAATTGCACTGGCTAAACTGTGTGAATGGATATAACAGAGCAAAGTAATGGATAGTGTGTGTTATGTTGTCACAAATTATATTCTGTACTCCATTGTTTTCTGGCTTATGCAAAGTGTTTGAAACGATTGTTTGACCATGATTTGCACCAATGCTTTTTGAACCCATAGACTTGGGTGAATCAGTGACTTAATATGCACGCCAACTGCTGACATGCCAACAGCCCTGCTGAGCATATAAAAAAAGCTCCTGAAGTCAAAAAGATGAATGTTTTTGTGTTCAGACATTAACATGCATTGCTTATAAACTGCAATATTTATACTGGGCCCCTTATTCATTATAATATTTAGAGACAGACAGATAATTGGTTTGATCCATGTATTTTTTTATTGATATTAAAATCAGATTTGCTGATAATATATGGAGGACCAAACCTGCAAAAATAATAAATAAATAAATGTAGTAATAGGAAAATAAAGGAATAAATGAATTGCTAAAACAAATACAATTAATTTTTAATTAAATTTAGTCCTGAATAATTATTACTAATTGGCACCAAAGATGATTATAAATGTGCAACCATTTAGATTGCAAAATAATTTTGTGTAACTTTAATAGTATAAATAACACCAGTAGTCATATATGATATTATGTTCATAAAATACTTTTTTAATTAAATGTTTTAAATGGTGTAATTGTTATTTGTGCTAAAAAGCAGAAATAAAACGGTGGTTAAAATGTTCTGAATGTTAAATAAAATGTTATGTTTTTAAAATCAGACAAAGAAACTAATCTGTATCAGACATAAAAGCTATATCGGCCAATCTCTAATAATATGACTTTTCCAGTTAAGTTTTTAGTTGCCCTTAATCAGCATTTGAGGCCTATTTTCAGATCTGGTGCCTCTGTGCAATTGCACATTATGAAATAACCTTGCACCGCCTGTCATATCAGCATCTGGAATTTAACACTTTTGTTGGTCTCTGTATAACAGCCAGTCTAGTGCAGGGGTTCTCAAAGTCTACATTCAAAGGTCCAAATCTGAATTTTCATCAGTGTCAAAGGTCCGGACCGGAACAATTGGTTAACCTGGCATGTATGACTACAGAAGGTAATGAGTGATGACCAAGAGGGGTGTCATTCTAGTGCAGGCGTTCTCCAAATCTACATTCAAAGGTCCAAATCTGAATTTTCATCAGTGTCAAAGGTCCGGACCAGAACTCTTTTTTTCCCTTTATCTCATAAAAGAGAGTTTGAGTAAATGATTATTGCAGGGCACAAGATGGTAATAGTAGTAGTAGTAGTAGTGGTAGCTAGGGATGCACCGAATGTTCCGCAACCGAAATTATTCGGCCGAATAAGTGAAAAGACTGAATAAATTGTACCGAACAATGATATGATGCGATCAAATAGCAACCAGCGAAGAGTGAGAGGCACGTACTCTGTATAATGCAGCACACGTCAGCAGTGTGGAAGCATTTAAAACTGTCCGAGAAAGACACAAAAATCATTACAAGCACCGACAGCGAGAGACTGTTTAGGACTGCATCGCATGTCTTCAATGAGAAGAGGAAGGGGTGATTGTTGCTGGTTACTGTATGATGATTGAAATCGTGAAATGGCCTTAAACAGTTAGTAAATAAACTGCAGAGCATTATGTTTTCTAATACACGCACACATTGCATGTATTCTGACAGCGCTGCACGAACTCGCAGCAGATCTGCTTGTTAACCAGGGTTCAAAGTCCAAAGCGCAAGGAAAATCTCCCTTTATCTCATAAAAGCGAGTTTGAGTAAATGATTATTGCAGGGCACAAGATGGCAATAGTAGTAGTAGTAGTAGTAGCCTAATTCATAGTAATAATACATGGCTCAAAACTTAAGCACCTTATCAAAACAGTTCTGAAGCATGTTTTTTGTTTATGCTTGTTGACAGACACCAGTGTTTCCCACAAACTTGCAAATGCAAATTCATTCTCTGCCAGCAGAGGCGCTGTTGGAGCGGGAAATATAGCGGTTTCCACGGTAACACCTGTAATCAAATAAGCGCTACTTTTATCAGGCATTACAGGAAAGACGAAATTAATATGACATCAAAGCTTTTCTGAAGACGGTCGGTTCTTTTCAAAGATACATTCATATAAAAACACCCGCGCTGCATTTTAATTCTGAAATGTGCAGTGCTCAGTTTATTCCACGAAGTATAAACCTTTTGGAAAATCTATTTGTGGCAGTCAGTTTTAATATTGACAGGCCGCCACAAATAACTCAATGTATGGGAATCACTGGACACTGCTAAAAGTCAAATGGCCATAATCTAAAGCCTCGTACACACTGGGACGATTATCACGCGCGCTTATCGCAGACGTTTTTCGATGCGTCTTTTGTGTTCATACCCAAGCGATTTTCACAGGTGATGAGCCGAGTGAACGTGCAGATTCACTCCCTGACATTAGATGGCGCTTAATGAAAAACAGAAATACCCTGGTACACATCGAATCCTATTTGATCTGCAATTTCTCTCCATAACAACTCCCTCTTATCGAGATTTTTGTAGTCGCTGTCACGTTTGTCATAAAGCCCTTTGTGTTCAGACACCAACAGTGCTCAGTTTATTCAACGAAGTATAAACCTTTTGGAAAATCTATTTGTGGCAGTCAGTTTTAATATTGACAGGCCGCCACAAATAACTCAATGTATGGGAAACACTGGACACTGCTAAAAGTCAAATGGCCATAATCTAAAGCCTCGTACACACTGGGACGATTATCACGCGCGCTTATCGCAGACGTTTTTCGATGCGTCTTTTGTGTTCATACCCAAGCGATTTTCACAGGTGATGAGCCGAGTGAACGTGCAGATTCACTCCCTGACATTAGATGGCGCTTAATGAAAAACAGAAATACCCCGGTACACATCGAATCCTATTTGATCTGCAATTCCTCTCCATAACAACTCCCTCTTATCGAGATTTTTGTAGTCGCTGTCGCGTTTGTCATAAAGCCCTTTGTGTTCAGACACCAATGAGACCAGCAGCTCTACATTCATCTTGCCTCGATGCATCTTCTTGGTCTTCTTACTTCCTCTTTGTCGTTAGGTATCAATGTGTGCTCGGCAAGACCGTTTTGTGCTTGAGCGCCACCAAGTCGTGTTTTACTGTAACTCCAGCAGCTGCAGGCACGTGAACAAAAGCGCCAATCTGATTGGTCGGCCAGTTTTTAACGCGGCGCGTCAAACCAAAAAAATGAGCCCGAGGCGTTTTTAAAAAAATGATGCTTTTACGCCTCGCGTTT